AAGAAAGGAATAAAAGGGAAAGGGAGAGAAGAAGAAAAGAGAGAAAGAAAGAAGAACCATGGGGCTTTTTTTTCTTTTTTCTTTTTTTTTTTTGAAGAAAGGAACCCCTGTGTTAGGCGTGGGCACGCCTAACTGCCTTCGAGTCTTCTGACCAACCGTCCGAAATAAAGATCCTTAAGCGTGACCACCTGGCGTGGGCACGCCTAACTACTTGAGAGTCTTCTGACCAATTTTCGAAAATGGAGTTCTTTAAGCGTGACCACATGACGTGGGCACGCCTAACTACCAGAGAGTCTTCTGACCGTAGACGAGAATTGCCTCCCTTAAACGTGACCATCTGGCATGGGCACGCCTAACTACTGGAGAGTCTTCTGTCCGTCAATTCCAAACTTCCTTCCTTAGACGTGACCACTTAGCGTGGGCACGTTTAACTGCCAGCTTCCTGCCCCCAAAAATAACAAATCATTAAATGCAGCTAACACTTAATAAAAACTCCAAAAACATAAAGAAACTAAAATAAGTAACATTAGGTTGCCTCTCAAGCAACACCTTTCTTTAATGTCTTTGGCTAGACATTGCCTTGTTTATTCACGGAGGATAAAACCGTGTAACTCGTTTTAGTGCATCATCTTTTATGTAATCCTGGTATCCTTCATAAATAGAGTAATCCTTGAGCACACGAACTACGGTCTTCCATGGATTAGTAGATGGCACCAAACAAATAGGTAACGACCTTAGTTTTTCCCTCACTCCCCCATCATGAGCATTTACTGGTTCGAGATATTTTGCCATCGCAACTCTTAACTTATTCCTGTCATGAAACTCAAAATCGTCTGGTATGATAAAATCAATCTCACTAACAGGAATTAAAGAATAAAAGTTAGAAAATATTGATTAAGGAATGGAGAAGATGTCACCGCATTTGGAGATTGTTCACTGGATTCATCCACTTGAACAATTTGATATTGGGGTTTCTTTTCTTGTACTTCAATTCCCTTTTCAACTGCATCTTTGGATTCTTCTTCATGAGACTCTTGCAGTTTCATGTCATTTGTCAAGATAATTATACCCTCATGTTCTTCATGGTCGATAATAGTCGCTGAGGGCAATTCTTCAGTCATTCGAGACATCAATTGCATTATCTTAGATGTCAATTGATCCATTTGATCTGCCAGGTTACGCATGCTCGCTTGTGTCTCCTAATGAAAGTTCATTGTCACCTGCTGAGGTAGATGTGTCTCCTGTTGAATTTGATATGTGTTAGTAGCTATTAATTCAACTATTTTTTCAAGAGACATACCTGACATGGATGACGGTTCTTGAGACTCTAACTGTTGAAAATCTATTGGCCTTTGTTCATAATTAAAATTCGAATCATCCCACCATCCTTGTTCATACCCGTATGAATAAGGGTCATACCACGTTTGATATTAAGGTGGAAAATCTCCAAAAGTATCGATTAGAGTACTTAGACCATCTCGAAATGCAGGACATATGTTGCTTGAATAATTTGAGGCAAAATAAGCACCATAATTTGCAACAGCCCATTGATCATTAGAAAAAACATGAGTCTCATAATCCCTTGTAGAAATAAAATCCAGTCTATCACCAAAATACGGAATGTTGGTAGCCGTAAACTATATATAAAAAAAATAAGAGAAAAATAAAAAAAATGAAAAAAAAGATGAACTCAAAAAGAAACAAATTAATCAGGCACCAATCCCCGGCAACGGTGCCAAAAATTGACAGGTGCCGAACTTGTGCAATAATAATAAATAAAACCTAACTACCACCTAAAACAATCAATAATCAATTCGAGTACTGGAGCAAGGACTCTAGGTGTGCAATGGGTTACTTGATTCACCCTGTTCCCGAAGAGTTTGCTTAATCCGATATACCTGAATTAATTATTTAACTGAATTCACTAACTAGTAGACAGTGGCAAGCAGGGTCGTCTCCTCAGGGACTAGCGAGAAATTTATTTCTTTTCAAGTAAAGATTAATGGGGGATTTTGAGATTAAATGCTAACTAAATAAATTAAATGCAGAAAATAAATAATTAGAAAAACTCCAGCCAAGGGTATACTTCAGAAATGATTCATGCACTGATCATCGATTCACAGATAATTCTAACATTTATTAATAGATTAGTTATAGTTGTCATGCACGTGATAAACAACCAACCTTTTCTTAATTTATCGATAGCTAAGGTACGACCGTTAGCTATTTTTCTAACCCAAAAATAACCCTAGGTACGACCGTAGGATTTAATTTCTAGATTGCATTAATAATTAGAAAGACCCAATCCTAACCAACAAACACGCTACGAGAATTTGTTTAAGTTAGATCATACGTTTCACTGACATAAACCCAATTACGCCAGTTGCTACTTAGATAGGGATATTCGAATAATTACGGATTCAATTACCCCTAATTAGCAAAATAACCTATATGAATAATTAAATATTGCGCACTATTCAATCATACACAAAAGCTATAACAATTAAAAGAAAAAAACATATAAATATCAATAAATGGAGGAAGCAATTAAAATAATTTAGATCTCACAGTATTTGCCGAACCAAATCGTCAGTTGTCCCCTAGACTAGAAGTATGAAATTAGTTCTCCACCATGAAGAGGAAGAGAATGTTTTCTCCTTGTCTCTTGCGGCCAAAAAGGAGGAAAAGGAAGAATTCCCCTACTGGTCTGCCGGCTCACACTTTTATTCCCCAAAGAAGTAGTAATCACGCGGGATCCGGCTTTTGATCTTCCTATTTTCTAGCTTTCTAAAACACATTGAACTTCCTCCCTCACAATCCGTAGTAATTGATTCCAAATAAAATCTCCTACTATAGGAAAACTAACTTCTTAAAAAATAAGTACTCAAGCGCTTAAAAAGTCTTCTAAACCAACCCAATTACTAATTAGAAACTTGGCAGATAATATCATCTTTCAGTTATAATGACGACTCCCACTTGGATTAGGATACCGCCCTCATAGAATCTCGTGCACTCCGGACTTGATTGATGTCTTCTCACGCATCCACACTTACTTGGAGGAAAATCTTCTAAAAATTGCTATTTCTGCACTTTCCTTCTCCAATTGGCTAAACATCCCCTAAACATAAAATTCAAACAAAACATGTCCATTAATGCAATATCCAATCCAATAAGAAAGGAAATTATAACAAAATTAATGTTCAATTAGCGTTCTATCAGTGCACCAGGATGGGTCTACTGCGGTACCCCAGGCGAGAAAGAAAGGTTCTCGGGTCTATGTCCCGTCTGATCGTACGTTATGCTCTCGAGTAACTTCGTCAACGAATGTTTTCTCCATTTTGTCTAATGATTAGATTTCTGTTTTGAAACATTCGAGATGTCTCATGAGCCCCTAATCTTAAAAGACTTCGCAAACTTGTTAAATTGCACTCTGTTTCGTTGGTAGCGATTTGTGAGCCTAAGACAGCCCCTACAAACATGGACATGGTTAGGGTGAAAATCGGAATGGATTATGCTATTGCAAATCGGTCGGGTAGCATTTGGGTGCTTTACAAATCTTCTTTTATTTGTCACACATTAGGGGAGTCAAATCAACATATCACGCTAGGCATTGGTTCCCAACTTTTGGCTGAGAAGATATATTTTCGTTTGTGCATGCGAAGTGCACTGCCCAGGAGAGGGGAGGTTTATGGGTGGATTTGTTACGCCAGAAGTCGGAAGGCAAACCGTGGTTTCTGGTGGGAGATTTTAATGTTATCTTGAATGCAGATGAGAAACGAGGCGGTTTACCTTTTAGGCACTCCGAAGGGGTTGAGTTGGCACAGTTTATCTCATTGGCAGAAGTTGGAGATGCTGACTTCTTGGGGTCGAAATTTACCTAGTGTAATAATAGGCAGGGTATGGCTAGAGTATGAAAGCGACTAGACCGACTCTTGATCAATTCGGCAGCTATGGTAACGGAGAATACTATTCTGGTACAACACTTGGGGAGAGACCCGTCTGATCATGCCCCGCTCTTGTTATCGGCGGCAATGAGATTGGATGGCAAGCCTTTGCCTTTCCAGTTCTTGAGTTTCTGGACAAAAAACCCTGGTTTTCTGGATGTGATCAAGGGGAGTTGGGCTACGCCCTCCACTGGGTCGCCTCTTAGAGTTTTGTCAAATAAGTTGAGAAGGGTGATGCACGCACTTCGGTAGTAGTCTAGGAGCTCGTATGGTGACATCTTTGTGGCAAGCCGAACGACAGAGCAAAAGGTGCTGGAAACTGAGATGGCTCATGATAACCATCCTTCGGACGGGTTGCTATTGGAGTTACAAGAGGAATGGGCAAAGTTGAGATGGGCCGTAGTGGTTGAAGAAAAGTTTTGGAAGCAGAAAGCTCAAGTTAAATGTCTCTCAGATGGGGACAAGAATACGGCATTTTTCCACGTTGTCGTGATTGAGAGGAAGAGGAAGTCAGTTATTCATAGAATCCGGAAGACTAATGGGTAATAGGTGGACGACGAAGCAAGTATTTGTGCTAAGGCCGCCTCTTTCTTTCAAGACTTGTTCACAAAGGAAGGGGGAAGGCCGTCGAGTGATATGTTGGAGCTCATCTCGAGGTTAATCACTGATCAGGATAATATGGTGTTGACTGGGGTCCCGTCAATAATCGAAGTAAAGGAAGTCATTTTTTCGATGGATGGGGATAGTGCGGCGAGGCCGAATGGCTTCACGGGGAAGTTTTTTATGGCGGTGTGGGAGGTGGTGGCTGAGGGTGTTCACAGGGCATCATGAGCTTCTTTTGTGGAGCGATGTTGCCAAGAAGTGTCACTACTCACTACTACTGCCATCGTGTTACTCCCCAAGGTACAGTGTCCACAGGATTTTATCCAGTACCGTCCGATAAGTTTGTGTAACTTTGTCAACAAGGTCATCTCCAAAATTTTATCTTCCTGCTTGGCGAAGGTTTTGCCTCGTATTGTCTCCCTACAGCAGAATGGTTTTGTGTCTGGACGGCAGATGGCGGATAACTTTCTTTTAGTTCAAGAGCTGTTGAGTGACATTAAAAAGCCCAATCGGGGTGGGAATGTGATGCTCAAATTGGACATGATGAAGGCAAATGACAGGGTATCTTGGATTTTCTTGACACAAGTATTGCGGCGCTTTGGGTTTAGCGAAGTTTGGATTGATATGGTTTGGCGCATCTCTAATGTCTGGTTTTCCGTCATTGTGAATGGCTTGCCACAAGGATTCTTTAGGTCCACGCGAGGGTTGCGTCAAGGAGATCCAATCTCGCCAACCTTGTTTGTGATTAGAGCGGAGGTTCTTTCTCGGTCTTTGAATGCATTGGCGGGGCATCGTAGTTTCCGACCATTCAAAGTCCCGAGTAGTTGCCCTCTGGTGACTCATTTGGCGTATGCAGACGACGTAGTGATTTTAATGAGTGGCTTCAAGGCTTCTGTCAAGTTAGTCAAAGGGGTAGTCAATAGATACTGTGAGATGTTGGGGCAGAAGTTCAATTGTCAGAAGAGTTGCCTTTTGGTGCACCCAACTTTGCCCCTGCAACGCCGGGTAATGATTGCAGTGGTGACGGGTTTCTCACACAAACCATTCCCGTGCAAATACCTTGGCTGCCCTCTATATATTAGACGACGCAAAACGAGTTATTTTGTGGAGATCTGCAATGCTATTACCACTAGAATTTTATCATAGAGGCATCGGATTCTCTCGACTGAGGGCAAAGTAGTCCTATTAAGGAGCGTGCTATCTTCGATACCAATCTATTTGTTGGCGGCGGCGTCGCTGCCAAGGAGAGTTTTTGCCTTGTTGGAAAAGGTGATGGCAGATTTTTTGTGGGGCTCGACGGATCTTGGCCCTAAGTTCCATTGGATTAGCTGGGGTGATCTGTGCCGCTCGAAAGAGGAGGGTGGGATCGGCGTTCGTAGCATGGCGAAGGTGTATGATGCTTTCTCCATTAAACTCTGGTGGAACTTTAGGCAGAAACACTATCTGTGGGTAGAATTTTTAACAGCTATATACAATAAAGGGTTACATCTATGCCTGGATGAGGGAGTCCCTTCACAGTCTTCTATGTGGCGGAGATTATGTTCGGTCCAGCATTTAGCGGAGGAGCACATCAGCTAGATTCCGGGTACGGGATCGATGGATTTCTGGCATGACAATTGGTTGGGTACATGAGCCTTATGTCATCAGGTAGAGATTTTTCATGAGAACATAGTTTCAGATTTTGTCACTCAGGCACAATGGAACTTGGGGCTCCTCAATCAGGTTTTACAGCCTGGGTTGGTGAGGCAAGTCATTGAGGTTCCCCCTCCTTCCCCTCGCGGGTCTGATAGGATGGTTTGGGCTTTAACGCAGGATGGGGTGTTTTTCGGTAGCCCCTGCGTACTTCCTTGTTGCGCAGACATCTAATTGCTCTTGGGTGAATTCCCAAGTTTGGCTCAAGGGGTATCCACTCCAAATCTCTTTTTTCATGTTACGGCTGTTACGGTTGCGACTTCCCCTGACGGATGAACTATGTAAATTTGGGGTTCAGGGCCCAACTAGGTGTCACTGTTGCACTGAACCAGGCGAGGAGGGGATTAACCATACCTTTTGCACAGGGAAAGTAGCCAAGGCGGTTTGGAGTAGCTTCGAGGATCCAGGGGAAGCAAGTAGGGTGTCCACTTTACGGCACAGGGTGATATGGTGGTGGTTGCGCCAGGGGCAAAATGTGTACCTCAAATTCGTCTATCGGCTGCTCCCTATGATCCCTTATTGGGAGATGTGGAAAGCAAGGAATAGGGGAGTCTTTGAAGGGAGGAGACTGGTGGGTACTGAGGTGGTACATCAGATTTTTCACCAACTGCGGAAATTATTTCATTGCCATTTTCTGGAGATAACATGTTCGTTCTGCTCTTGGGAGGTGTTCCACTCTTCTTTGGTGGGTATGAGACGGAGGATTTCGATACTTCCGGTGCGATGGGTGGCTCCTACTGTAGGGTGTAAGTTGAATTCAGATGGATGTGCTAGAGGAATCTGGGGATTAGTGGGGATGGAGGTGTGGTGCGGGATTTGGAAGGGCAGCTCATCTTTAGTTATTCCTACTTCTTTGGCTCCTTGACGAGTTTACATGCGGAGCTTAAGGCTATGGCATGTGGGGTGCAATTATGTGTAGCTCGCAGCTTGCATGACCTGCATATCAAGGTTGATTCGCTCGTCTTGGTGCAGATTCTGCAAGGGAAAGATGCATGCCCGTGGAGATTGCAACGGGAGGTGGATGGTTTGCTCAGATACAAGCGGTACTTCGGGGATATCACGCATTGCTATAGAGAAGCGAACAAGCCAACTGATTATTTAGCTAACCTAGGAGCAGACACGGAGCAAGAGATGATTTTTGGGAGTCATCGTGCTTTGCCTGGTATGGTCCGGGGTGAGATCCAAATGGAGCGGTTAGATTTTCCTAATTTTCGTAAGAGAAGCATGAGTTGAAATTTGTATTATGTTTCCTTATTTTAGTCAATAAAATCATAATTTTATTTAAAAAAAACCACATTCAAGCATAATTATTACACTTTTTCTTAAAAGTTTGGATTTTCAAAAGCAAAAAATATCAAATTATGGCACATAAGGAGTGCAAGATTTTCATGGCCAATTTTTATATTTCAATTACTATTCAATTTTTGTTTTTCATGGAGAATATTGGTTATGGGAACGTGCTACAGTGACAAATCACCTCAAGAAATACTAAAATAATGCAAGTTACCAGTAGTTGTCTAAATTACCCAACTTTAGCGACAATTTTGGTTCGTTAGCGTCTTTTCTAAGTCCATTAAAATAATGATTATAAATTCTGTGTAAGTTTTTTAACTAAAATGCTAAATTTGTTCACTAAACTAGCAACTTTAATCATTCATCAAATTTGCCAATTTATTTGTAAAACTTACCATTTTTTAACAAAAACTTACCATTATTTCAATTAAATTTACTAATTATAATTGTTGTAACTTTCAATTAAATTTACTAACTATAATTGTTGTAACTTTCTTAAGTAAAATGGCATGTTTATGAAATAAAGTAGTAAGTTTGAACAATTCACCAATTTACCATTTTATTTGTAAAACTTACCATTTTTCAACAAAAACTTACCATTATTGGAATTAAACTTATTAACCATTTTTCAACAAGAACTACTCATTATTTGAATTAAACTTACTAAATATAATTGATGTAACTTTCTTAAGTAAAATGGTAAGTTTGTGAAATAAAGTAGTAAGTCTGGACAATTCACTAATTTACCATTTTATTTGTAAAACTTACCATTATTTGAATTAAACTTACTAATTATAATTGTTATAACTTTCTTAAGTAAAATGGTAAGTTTGAGAAATAAAGTAGTAAGTTTGAACAATTCACCAATTTAACATTTTATTTGTAAACCTTACCATTTTTCAGTAAGAACTTACCATTATTTGAATTAAACTTACTAATATTGTTGTAACTTTCTTAAGTAAAATGGTAAATTTGTGAAATAAAGTAGTAAGTTTGAACAATTCACCAATTTTCCATTTTATTTGTAAAATTTACCATTATTTGAATTAAACTTACTAATTATAATTATTGTAACTTTCTTAAGTAAAATGGCAAATTTGTGAAATAAAGTAGTAAGTTTGGACAATTCACCAATTTACCATTTTATTTGTAAAACATATCATTTTTCAACAAAAACTTACCATTATTTGAATAAAACTTACTTATTTTAATTGTTATAACTTTCTTAAGTAAAATGGTTAGTTTGTGAAAAAAAGTGGTAAGTTTGGACAATTCACCAATATACCATTTTATTTGTAAAACTTACCATTTTTTAACAAAAGCATACCGTTATTTTAATTAAACTTACTAATTATAATTGTTGTAACTTTCTTAAGTAAAATGCTAAGTTTGTGAAATAACGTAGTAAGTTTGAACAATTTACCATTTTATTTGTAAAACTTATACCATTTTTCAACAAAAAAACTTACCATTTTTTAAATTAAACTTATTAATTATAAAGTAATAAGTTTTGTTGGAGAAGTAGTAATGTTCGGTATTTAAGAGTAAATTTCATATCACACTTATAACTTACCAATTTTATTACCAAAGTTACCATATTATCACCTGATGTTACATTGAATCTTGGAAACCTAAATGAACAGTAGTGCAATGGTCACTAAAGATACCAATCTTGGATGTGAGGACCATTACTAACTGGTTGTATCAGTATTTTAATGTAAAATATTCACAAGTTATGATAACGATTGACACTGTAGCATTATCCTTGGCGGTGCTTGTGACTTTCTCTTTTTTTCGTTAGACTTGTTTTTTAGTATCGCATCCAACTCTTTAGCAGATATTTTTTCGTGTTTATCAGAGTCCAATTTGCTTCAAAAACATATTTTGCCACAAAAGACCGTAGAACTAGATGGCCAACAGCAAATACGTGCTGAAAAGTTCATTTGCTACTTATTTTCGACGACCAAACACATAATCCAGAGGTAATGTGGGAACAAAAATTCTCTAATTAATTACCATTATAATTGATGCTTTAAGTTCTTCCCCGCTTCAATAAAAGCTAAGGTTCATTAACGCAACATGGAGCGAAGAAGCAAGACTAATTAACTTAGTGACGCCATATGAATACAATTAATGTAGGAGAGATAAAAATAAAAGTGATCTAAGTGGTAGCATTTTTCTGGTTGGCTATGGCCTTTATCTAATGCTGTTCTAGTCTTAGATGAATAAATGCTTTTCGCATGTAAGCAAAGTATCAAACACTTTTGATTCATGCAGATCAGCAACTTCACTTTTTCTCTTTCTGTGTTGAAACGAAGTATTTATAAAATGAGTTCCGTAGAATAAAAGGTACGTTTTAGAGGTACTCTCTCCACTTTATTGTTATTTAATATTTTCACTATTTTGCTATTCCAAAATAGAAGTAACTATTTTGCTATCCCAAAATAAAATAGAAGTCACTTTTTTGAGATTCACACAACATCAGTTTTGTTTCAATTTTGCAATTTCAAAAACTTAGATAAATTTATCTAATGCCACCCCATCAGAACTTAATGGACCAAGACTGGTATAGTTAAAATTTTCGTGTGGTTATACGGATATTATACTTCTTACATAATTTAATAAACAATCATGTAATTTTGTTCAACGCGAAAAGTTTGTTCGTGTATATCAACTTGATGCATAAGTGCAATCTAACAGTATAACCACCGTATAAAATCACACCTATTCCAATTCCAAACATAATAATCACATATATTCATAACAAGTTGAATTCCCAGAAAAATGAGTCCCATACTTGGATAGAGGTAGTCCATTTATATTTAAATGAATACAAGACAGATGGTAACAAACACACATGGATAGACTGATTAAGTTATCACTGAGCAGTGATGTTTCAGTGATAACACATACAGGCATACATAATTAGCAACTGACATAGGAACAGCTACCATTGGCGGCACATATGCAATTCTAGTGAATTGTTGGCCTTTATTTCACATTACAAAGTACGGTGCAAATTGTAGCATATAGTAGGCTTTCAACATTTGTAGCGACAGTAGCAAGCATAATGACGTTGATGACCTTGGCCAGTCCACATACATGATCCGGAGTCAGCATGGTCTCGAGACTTGCAAACATTGTGGCACCCTTGAGGGTTACATTTCCCTGACCAGGACTTGCTAGGCCTCTGGCAAAATTTAGCTTCAGCCATTGGCATCTCTGCATGAAACAAAGCAAGAGAAAGAGCAAAATATGTAGAGTTAGTCCAGAGTTTATGATATGTACGAGGCATCTAGCCTGTTCACCTAGTGGATAAGTGTTTGTTAGTATTATAGAGTATGGCTCCTCTATGTCATTGTTTTGTGTCAATCTTTATCCCATTTTCTATTTTTACACCACATGTACTGTTACATGCAACACTATACATGTATACTTGAAGTATATTTACATGTGACGAATAATTAGAAAGTGGAAGAGAAAATTCAAGAGCAGAAAATATTTATTGAAAAGCATGTGGCGCATACGTAATACAAATTAGTTCGTAAAATTTTGATTGTGAGTGTACATGCACATTATACACATGTATAACTATTCTAATTCATTGCTAGTGACAACCATATCTGTTTGTTATACTCGAAATTCTCTAACTAAGAGAGAATTTACAAATGATTCAAAACTTTGGGAATGTACAAATATACGCCATTCTGTGCATGTGTTCACCATTTAAGACTAGCTACAACTTACCATTTGGTACGAGGAGGAGGAAGCAGATGAGCAAGGCAAAGAAGGTTGCAAAGCTGAATTGAGATTTAGCCATCTCCAATATCTTATGTTAGCTTTGCTTGCGAGAAAACAAGTAAATGATGATGGCTATTTATAGCAAGAGACAGTGAAATTTTCCAAAACCTAATCGGTAGTTGTGTTGAAACTTCTCATCGCTGAGTTGTTAGAGAAAGGGATAAATATCAAAGAATTAATACAAAGTCTAAGTCATAATTAGCTTACAAAAGGAGTTTGAACAAAGTATCAACACCGTTAAGATTTGAAATTTTTAAGTCCGGCAATTTCTAACCTCTTTTAGTAGGAAAGATAATGACCATTAGCATAATGTCACAAAGTAAAGTATAAAATCATCTGGTTGCTGGATTGTCGGTTACAACATTTTCATATACAATCGATGGACGCAAAAAACTCACCATGCATGCTACCTTCAAAATCTGTGCCTTGAGAAGAATAATGCTTAAATGAAAGCACATTTTGTACAAGAAAAAGTTTGGTATGATATCTGTTTCTTCCTCTTTTTCTTCTTTTTTATATTATTTTTGGTACATCAATTTAGAATTTAGAAGCCACAAGGCAGAAAGGACGGCAGCAATGGATACTTGAACCCCATATCCATCATGTTTTCGATGCACATTCTCGTGCTTTATTTTATCACAACCAAGACTAGCTAGTAAAGGAAGATGGAATATAAGATTTTAGAATTTTTTTTACCAATGATCCATTTAAGTTTTCTTGAGATTTAACCATGTCCATTATTTGAATTTTACAAAGCGCGTGGAATAAAAAAAATCAAGGATGATAAGAATTTAAAGCAGGACATATATAGCGAGCTTTTCAAGTATCTGATATACGTTGAAATTTGAATCATTCATATCCATGGAAGATCAAAGAAAAGGAAATGTACGAATAGAATAAGATGCTAGATAAAAGTTCAGCAAACATCACTTATCCAAGGACATAATTAATAGCATTAAGACCGGTACAAAATTTGAATAGATAAAAAGACAGCTTAATTTCCTACCGTTTTAATAAGATACATTAATTTTCGTGAGAATAATCCTACCCGTAGCGTTAACGAGGTAGAGACATCGTCCATTTAGCAGCAGCTCTCAGAGTTAATATCTTTTGTTCGGTAATTAGCTGTAGGGAATGTG